TAGTCACTGTATTAGAAATTAAAACGGCGAACATTTTAAAACACAAGGATGCACAAATACACGCCAGGGGATGATGTCGCCACACCTCATGTGGCCTCTGCTAACTCCGTGGTTCTCTCATGAGAGAAAGAAAAAAAAGCAAGTATCCTAGTATTATTGTGAAAGTGATTTAGCACTCACAACCCCCCTCAAAAGGATCTCAGGGACCCCCAGGGCTTGCCAGACCACAGGCTGAGAGCCACGGCCCTGGAGAGAATTGCTGCTCCACATCCTCAGCTTTTTCATCTCCTTAGAGTTAATATTGCATGAAGAACCCCAGAACTGAAGGAGTCCACCCCTATCCACTATGCTAGAGTTTTCCTGTATGTTATATCTACATATGTTATAAACTCCATGATACAATGTTATAATGTTTGCTTTAAACAGGTATGCCTTTTTTATTTAAAAAAGAAAAACCAGATTTTTCTATTTAGCTACAAATTTACCATGTCTCTTCACTGCACCCTGCAACTCTATCTTCCACCTGGATTCCTTCCCTCCCAGCCCCTACACGCCCTTTAGCATTTGTCATCCTGCGGGTCTGCTGAAGGCAAATTCTCCGAGTTTTCTTTTATCTGAGAATGGTTTTATTTCATCTTAATTCTGGAAGAATATTTTCACTGGAAAAGCAATTCTGAGTTGACTATTTTCTTTCTTCCAGAATTTTAAAGATGTTCCACTGTCTTCCAGTCTGCAGTGTTTTTGATGAGAAAATAGTGACATTGAAAGTGTTCTTTTCTGTATGCAGTGTGTCCTTTTCGTCTGGGTGCTTTCAAGATTTTCTCTTTACCTTTGGCTTGTAGCAGTTTGACTATGTTCTAGATGTGCTTTTATTGTTGTTGTGGTTTTACTTTCCATTCCGCTTTGAGTTTACCAAGCTTCCTGAATCTAAAAATGTTTGTTTTTTACCAAAGTTGGGAAATTTCCAGCATACTTCCTTGAATATTTTTTTCTGCCTCATTCTCTCTCCTCTCCTTCTGGGACTCAAGAACAGATATATTAGAGGGTTTGGGTTTGTTTTGTTTTGTTTTGTTTTGTCCTACAGATCTCTGAGTTTCTGCGCATTTTTAAAATTTTTTCTTCTGATCCTCAGATTGGATAATTCCTATTTATCTATCTGCAAGTTCATTGACTCTTTCTTCTGCTATCTCCATGCTTCTACTAAGCTCCTCCAGTGATTTTTTTTTTTAATTTCATGTAGTGTTACATCTTTGAATTCTGAAATTTACATTTGGTTCCTTTTAAAAGTTTATATTTTTCTGCTTATGTTTCCTATCTTTTTTCTTTAACATGAGCATATTCTTCTTTGCATCTTTGCGTGCCAAAATCCTTGTCTACAGATCCCAACATCCGGCTCATCTCGGGGAACATCTCTGTTGTCTTTTCTCTTGAGTGTGGTTTATATTTCCTGTTTCTTCATATTTGGAGTAATTTTGGACTGTATCCTGGACACAGTGAGGTTACATTATAAAGACCATGGATTCTGTGTTGTTCCTCCAAAGAGTATTGGTGTGTTTGTTGTTTTTGTTTTTGTTTTCCAAGTAAGCAGTTAGCTTGGCTTAACTCAAACTGCAGACTATCTTGAGAGAGTAGTAGATCAAAAAAAATTTTTAAGATTTTATTTATTTGTTATTTGAAAGAGAGAGAGAGAGCACAAGCAGGGGGAGGAGTAGAGGGAAAGGGAAAAGCAGAACCCCGGCTGAGCAGGGAGCTCGTGGATGATGCGGGGCTCAATCCCAGGACCTTGGGATCATGACCTGAGCCAAAGGCAGATGCTTAACTGACTGAGCCACCCAGGCACCCCAGTAGTTCAGATGTAAGTTGAATTCTTTCAGTCTTAGCTAGGCTGCCTGGAGTCTGACCCATGCATTCATGACTCAGGGGAACAAGGGTAGAAATCCCTGAGACACTCAAATAGCTGCCAACCTGATTATGAGCCAGACATCACACAATGTGATGTGCGTGGAGGTGATTCAGAGACTTGATACTAGAGCCCCACGGCCGACCCCAGCACCTGTGCCCCCAGAGAGGTCACGGGAAACAAAAGTGTCTCGTGATGATAATATTAAGAAGAGAGTTCTAGCTCTCCCTCTGATGTTCCTCTCCCCAAGGCTCCAGAGCCCAAGGCTGGCATTCTTCCTACATCCCCACTCCCGGATGTGGGCAAGGGTACCATCCCGTGCGGTGCCAGCCCTGAAGAGCCCCTGTGTCTGCATTGATGCCATAATTGCTTGGGTAGCCACTTCTGCTTTTCCTGCCAGGCTACAAACTACAGAGCAACAACCGACTGTATGTCTCTGCCAGCCAAAGAGGAAGCCGCAGTGCAGGGGAGGTGGTCCTGAATGCAGGATGGAGGCACAGCTACCCAGCCCCAGCCCCAGCCCCAGCCCCCCATGGGCCCACAGCAACCAGCTGCACAGAGAACCACCAGGCTCCTTCTCCACCCCCAAGTACATGGAGGCTTTGTCCCCTGACCCCAACACTCACTGCAGCCACACCACCTATGTGGGATGAGGGCAGGCCTTCATATTCAAAGTGTTAGATTCTTCCAAACAGGGACCATGTGCAGGATCCGGACTGCTCAAGACACCAGCAGCAGTATGACCACTACCTCTTCCCCCCCTCCCCCCGCCCCGCCCTTAGCTCCCTGCCTCTTTCCCACCCAGCCTCCACCCAGCTCTTGAATGCTTGTCCACTAGGGGACATTATCCAGGTTCACCCAGAACTTGCCCAGTTTTAAAACTGAAAGGTCCACAACCCAGGCAAGCCCTCAGTCCCAGGCAAGTTGAACAGTTGGTTACCTGATGTGCCCTGGAATTCTCTTTTAAGGCCTTTCTCCTCCTGTCCTCCAGAACATCTCTAAGAAAGTCTTCTCAGAAGTGCTAACCTCCAGTATGTGCCGTCTTAGAATGGAGCACAAGCTTAGGAACAGAGTACAATCCTGCCCATCACAGACTATCATGGAGTAGGGAATGATGCTCTGAAGGGAATCTAGGGATGAACCCCCAGCTCTGATTGGAGCCTTATCTGGTTTCTTCCCACCAGATGGCTCATGGACTTGGACCATTGTTCACTCCTGTGGATGTGTCTCTGACTTCCTAGATGCTCCATGTGACCCTAAGGGTTATTATATAAGAGGGCAGGTTTCAGTGCTCCTAGGAGAGGGGAGAAATCCTGGCCAGTGGGGCCTGCTCCTCAAAGGATGCATAAGGGAGATTATTCCCAGGTGTGGTAGGTGTTGGTGTATGAAGAGAGGCAGACTTGATACCAGGACTGTACCTGGGAAATTGTGTCTGTCTTGACCATCACTCTCCTGCCATCCCCTCATAGCCATGAACCATAGCTCTCCTGAACCTTTTTAGCTTGGAAAAACTAAAGTTCCAGAACATACCCTGTTTGGGTCTTATAATTTGCCACATTTGTGAGGAGCCACATTACAAGATTCAAAATGGAAGAAACAATGGATTCTTATATGAAAGGGGTGTGTGTGTGTGTGTGTGTGTGTGTGTGTGTGTGTGTGTAGAATGTAGGACCAAATGGCATGTAAGAATTCCCATACATTCCACATACCTAGAACACCTGGTACATAGTAACATTCAAGAAATATTCATTGAATAAATGAATGTGTCTACATGTGCATGTCTTGGTGTCTGAATGGTAAGTTCTCCTTAGGCCTGGGAGAAAAAGGAGTTGGGACAGATAGTTTCCCACCCATATGAGGAATTCCCTCTATAACAATCCAACTTCTAAATGAATGCTTTCATTGAGTGATCTGTGGGGGAAAGGTCTCAGCTTCAAACCCCCACTCTCTGGTGATGAGTCGTTTTTGACAGGGCAGTCTACACTGCTGCTGAGAGGCAGAGTGAGGTATAATACAACTCCACTACAGTGGTCTTCCTCACTCCAAGCACACTGAAAATCTCTAGTACAATCTTTTTTTCCTGTTTTGAGGACTCCTCCCTGCCCTCCCTTCCAGCCACTCTGGGGGGTAGAAGCAGGAAGGTTCTTTGGGGGATATCCCCAGCCTCTTTCTCATGATGAGTTCTTAGGGGTTAGTACACAGACCTCAGAACTTTGGGACAAGCCATCCCCTCCCACCTTTCAAACCTGAGTACATTAAAATGACATTTTTTTAAGTATTAGAGAAGGGAGGTTCTGATTTTGGTGGAGTCGGAAGGAGCAGAGATATGTTGGTGAGCACGTGTCCCACGTGGGATTTCAGAGGAGTATCATGTTGCTCATGAAAGCATGCCAACTGATGTAATGAGCACAGAGCTGCCAGAAAGGGCTCCAGGCAATCAGGGCTCAGACTGCGGTAGCGACCACAGTGACAAGTGACAGTGAGTGGGGCTCGGGAGAGGGAGGTCTCATGCAGCAGAGTCGCCATACTGAAGTAGTTGCAAAGCACCTTGCCCTCGGATGACCAGATAGCTTATTGTCCAAACCAGGGGAAGGAGGGCACTAGTAATAATTACACCAGGACAACCAGTGTAAACTGGGACTGTTCCAACCAAACTGAGATATATGCTCTCCCAATAGAGGACCCTAAAGAGTGTTCTGGAAGACTGGATAGTTAGTCTACCAAAGCTACAAAGAGAGGGAGGGCTAATACCCTCGTGGGTAAAGCACTAGCAATCTTCTTAGGACTATCAGACCTCCTCAGGGAGATGATGACCATGATGGAGAGATAGTAGGACTCCTGCCTCTAAGAATTTCTTTCTTTGAATAAAGTGAATCAGGGTGGGTGAAAATAAATGCAGAAGTGGCCAGTATTGTTAGGGCTGATGAGTGGTTAGACGGGTATATGATGGAGTGGCTATAGTGAAGCATAATCAAAAGAATATGACAGGGTGTCTGGGTGGCTTAGATGTTAAGCGTCTGCCTTCGGCTCAGGTCATGATCCCAGGGTCCTGGGATCGAGCCCCGCATCAGGCTCCCTGCTCCGCGGGAGGCCTGCTTCTCCCTCTCCCACTCCCCCTGCTTGTGTTCACTCTCTCACTGTGTCTCTGTCAAATAAATAAATAAAATCTTAAAAAAAAAAAAAAAGAGTATGACAAAGAACATCAGAGACAAAGAACACAATACCCGGCCCCTAAACCTTATGATCCAGTGGCAGGTTCAGTGCCCCTTCCTCCCAGGACAGATCCCTGGTGGGGGCTCATGCCAGGGTCCCTCTTGTTCCTGGGCAGGTCCTGCAGGTCCTGGTTTTTTACCTGCAGGGGGCAGTAGAAGGCTTCCACTTCTGGGGCTCCATTTGCTCCTCCCACTGCTGCAATCGGCATGAAGTGGTCCAACCTGGACTTCTAAGGGCCTTCATGTTTCCCTCCCACGCAGACCACAATCAGCCACCTCACATGCTCTGACATCCAATGAGAAGGCAGGACCTCCGACAGCGGCTGTATCATCTCCAGATCTCCAATTCAAGGCAAGGTGAGCCGTGCAGGCCAGCAGCTGAGGAGGAGTCCACCGAGGTGAATTCTACTCACCCTCACCGGAGCCTTCCTCTGTCCACCATGAGGCGGTGTCCTGGGGCTTCCACATGACCATGTCTCCTCTCCCCAGGGCACCTGGTCTGGAAAGAAAGGGCACAGATAGAGACAACCACAGTCTGGGGAGTGATTTTAGAGAACCAGGAGCATAAATAAATAGAAATCGAGTCTTTGAAATAGAGAAGTTTAAAAAAAAAAAATGAACAGTTGGCACGGACCCCACCGAACTTTCCTTCAGCTTCTCCTTCAAGTTAAGTCTGGGTGTTGGTGGGTAAGAGGTCTTCTTGATCTCAGAGATATCCAGCCTCAATTGGGGTAAAAAACTGTCTCCAATATTTTAGCTATCCCTGAGCCAGATGGCAAGTGCTATCTACCCTAGAGATTTTTTTAAAGGTCATGCTGGGAATTACTATATTTCCAGCGATCTGCCTCCTCCCAGAGCCTTCCCCAGCCACAGCTCCATTGCCTTGCTTGAGCCAAACCCTCTCACTTGCCCTGGAGTAACTGGACCTGTCTCCCAATTATAGGTGAAAACCAGAATGTGTCTCATATTCCATTTGTTAACTTTCTCTTTTGTACATTTTAAGCTTCTCAGCCTTGCCTTCCCCCCCCCAAAAAAATGCCCTAAAATGAAATTCTGGTGCTCAGTTTTAAAAAGCAAGCCCCATAAATGCTCACAAAATAAATCTCAGCAAGATGAGAACATATTCCCTCTTATCCTAGAGTTGCAGAAAATCAGACACGATTCTGCTTCATAGAGTTGATTCTGATAAAGTGGTAAATCAAGAACATTCAGTCCCACTGGTGTGAAAATATGTAATCCTGTTCTATGTTATATTTATATCATCTTTGGAAGTGTAATTTGCACAAAGGAATCTTTTAAGACATGCAGACATCAGAGAAGATTGCTATATGACCAATACAATGTAATTTGTAAACCTTAAAAGTCTGCAACTCCGGTTGGCCATTGATAATTTGTCTGAAAACAATATTTAATTAATTTATTTTTTTTAAAGGAGAGAGCACAAAAGCAGGGGGAGGGGCACAGGGAGAGAGGGAGAGAAAGAGAATCCCAAGCAGGCTCCATGCCCAGCACCGAGCTGGAAGCGGGGCTCAGACTCACGACCCTGAGATCATGACCTGAGCTGAAACCAAGAGTCAGATACTTAACTGACTGAGCCCCCCAGGCACCCCTGAAAACATTATTTAAATTAACCTCTTCAATTTCAAAAAGGCATAAAGATTTATGAGATTGTTGTTTGTTTGTAAGACCAGAAGAATACCTTTGGGACTGTCTTGTCCTTTCAAGCATAAAGGTAAAATCTCATTCTTCTGTTTGTCTTTTTCAAAGAGTTTAAGAGTCTGTGATAATTTGGGGCGCCTGGGTGGCTCAGTTGGTTAAGCAACTGCCTTCGGCTCAGGTCATGATCCTGGAGTCCCGGGATCGATCCCGCATCGGACTCCCTGCTCAGCAGGGAGTCTGCTTCTCCCTCTGATCCTCCCCCTCTCATGCTCTCTGTCTCCCATTCTCTCTCAGATAAATAAATAAAAAATCTTTAAAAAAAAAAAAAGAGTCTGTGATAATTTGAATTAACAGGGAGAAATCCTTGCCCTGCGATCTACCAGGAAAGCTGGGAATCAGCCTTGTGGGGAAGAGCTGGAAAAGGAAGAGGGGAAGCAGCACAACCCCAAGTTCAATTAACTTGAGGGGATTTGGAATGTGGGGCCCATAGCCAGCCCTCCCTGGGGGTGATAGAAGGAAAACAAATGCTCTGACCATGATATTTGGGGTCACCATCTCCACTGCGCCCCTATTACTTGAGAGACAATAAACATTCTCAAGTTCAGGGGCGCCTGGGTGGTTCAGTCGGTTAAACATCTGCCCTCAGCTCAGGTCATGATCTCAGGGTCCTGGGATCGAGCCCCGCATCGGGCTCCCTGCTCAGAGGGAGAGCCTGCTTCTCTCTCTCCCTCTGTCGCTCCCCCTGCTTATGTTCACTCACTCTCTCTCTCTCTCTCTGTGTCAAATAAATAAATAAAATTTTTTTTTTTTAATTCTCAAGTTCAGTAGGAAGCTGCCTTCTCAAGCCAGAGGCTCTCCAGGAAGACGGGGTGCCATGAGGCTCAGAGGAAAGGAAGCTGTTGGAGCTAAAGCTTGGATCAGGGAGGAGGAGGAGGAAAGCAAGAACACAAAGGCCTGGAGAAAGGGAGGAAAGCAGTGGGGGTGAGAGACAAATAAAGGAAGAAGTAATGGGAAGGAGGAGAACGTACGACCAGGGACCTGAGCAGTGCATAGGCCCAGAGTAGAGGTTACTTCTGGAATGAGGGTGAGAGGGATTGCCTACTGAGCTCTCCCTTGGACTAAGGATGGAGGCAGGATGCTCTAGGGCCGAATGGAAACCAGAGGGATGGCGCTTGAGAAGGAGCCTGGTCATTTGGGATGACCCAGGGAGAGCCTGGAAGGAGCTGGAGGAGGTATCCTGCCGAAAAAGGGGAAGCAGGAAAAGCCAGGTCCCAGAGAGTGGTAGCAGAAAAGTACTTAGCAAAGTGATAGACGGGCTGGAAGAAGGGGGATTTGAGGGTCAGTATGAGAGGGAAAGGGAAGAAGCCGATTAAGAGACTTTCTACCCATATAGTCAGGATTCAGCCACGCATGTTTCACCGTCGTATCCATGGGCTAGGCACCATGTTGGCCATCAGTGATGGTGAGCCGAGTAGCCACAGTCCCTGCCGTAATGGAGCCTGCTTGCTGGCCTGGTGCACCCTTTGGGAGTGTCCTAAGGGCTTCCGGAGAACCTCTTGAACGAAGAGTGGACCAAGAGCACTGGAGTGTGAGGAGCCGTTCTTAGCCTTTGTGGTGAGCAGAATGGGAGAGAATCATTCGACAAAGCCATCACATGTCATAACTCTGAGCCCCAGAGGTGTGCAAAGCTTCTAGCTGGGGCTGGAGTCCACAACAGGACGTGACCCTGTGCCAACGAATGCTGCAGATGCGCCGCACATCTGCCTGCTTCCCCCCATCCCCTCCCCTTTCAGATTACAGCCAGGGGGGCTGCTCGGAGCTGATGTCCCCACTGGGCAGCCCTCCCTGGTCAAAAGGAGTTCGGGTCCTCAGGGAGCGGGCTGTTGCTGACTTTCCACACACCTGCCTCCTTTGAGGACAGAACCATTGGCCTCCACAAGGGCTTCCCGCCCCTTACCAAGCCATGGGTGAGTGTCTCTCCTGGGGGGGCAGGGAGGGCGGCTCTGCCCCCTGCCATGGCCTCTGGTATCTGTCTAAAGAAGTTTGAGTCTGGGCCTGAACCTGCTGGACAAGCAGCTTCCCGGGGCTGTGGGCAGGATTCAAAAGACCACCTAAGCGAGTGCCCCCATCCATGCTTGATGAGAGAGGAGCAAGGAGCAGCTCAAGTTCACGGGTCACAAACTTCAATCTCTACAAGAGGCAGTCTTTTAACATAAATGAGTGGAAAGGTCAGGGAGGGAGGGGTATGGCCCATTAAAGGGACCACCCTACTGTGTGATACATGCACGAGTTAAAAATTGGCTGTAAACAGTACAAAAGGGTCAAGAGTCAGTACCTTCCCAGCCCCCTGATATTTTCTGAGGGCAAATGGGATTTGGGAGGTGTTTTTCCTCTACAGTGGTGGGCAAACTATTCCTGAATCAGACAGTAGGTGGCGCTCAACCCAGAGAACTAGAAAAAGGGAACTGTGGAGAATTACTTAACTCCTTTCCAGTAACTTCTCCCTCCTCCCCCGCAGGGCCTTCCCCGCCCCACCTCCTGTTCCCTGGCGTGGGGCACGTCCTCCCGCTGGTCCCAGATGTCCAGTTCCAGATACCTGGTCTCAGAGTGGGGAAATAACCACTGGAGAAGCCCCCACTCCACAAGCTGCCCAGGCAAGATGTGAGTGTGCCCACCGGAAAGGCCTGGAGGAGAGGACAATGGCGGGGAGAGGGGAAGGTGGGACCCAGGGACGTGCACACACACGCACACACATGCGCACACACACACACACAGAACCAGTTACTGCGGGGAGAACTGGAAAGTTGCCTGTAGCCTCTAGCAGCCTTCCCTGGAGTTGGTCAGACTCCGTGGTCCGAGCCAGGAGAGCTAACATATTTAAATGTCCCTCCCTCCTACCACCATTGCTCCTCCAGATCCCAGGGTGGGATTGGGACCTGCCGAAGCAGAAAGCAGCCCCCTCCTTTGATTGAGACTGTCCTGGGACACAAGCAATGGTGGAAAACTCCCAGTCCAAGCTCCGGCTGGCTAGGAGGCTGAAGGAATCAGGGTGAGGAGGGGCAGTAAGGGAGGAGCCCACAGGTGCCCAGGCCTCAAGGGCTAACGCCTTTGCGGGGCGTCTCGATCTCTCAGCTTCGCCTGCCCCTGCTCCTCATACTTCCACAGGCCTCGGGCCATATGTGTGTGGCCATATCTTGCTCTCATCCACTCACAGGTGGTGGCTACTCCTCTGGGGAGTCCTCCAGGCTTGCCCCACGCAGGGCTCCGTGCTCTTGGCCCAGCAGCTACCCCAGCAGCTGACATCCCCTGGGTATCCGGAGCCCTATCTCAAAGGCCAAGAGAACTCCACTGACATCGAGGCTCCAGAGGGCTTTGCCGTGAGGCTTGTCTTCCAGGACTTCGACCTGGAGCCGTCCCAGGACTGTGAGCAGGACTCTGTCACAGTGAGCTGCAGTGGGGGTCCTGAAGGGACTCTGGGGAGGGAGCCTCTTGGCCTGGAGCCCAGAGGCAGGGGGACGTGGCTGTGCCCTGAATGGCAAAGGATGGATGAAGAGCCCAAGTCAGGGGCACAGGCGGCTTAGCTGGGAGGTCAGGGTCTGCCCCAGGGTGCTGCCTTCTGCCCTCAGGCCTGCCCTTGTCCCTGCTACCATCTGGGTCCCACAGAGCGAGAGAGAAGGTGGCAGGGCAGGCCCTGCTTTGGAAGTCGTACCGAGGGACACACACATACTGCAAAACCCTGGCGTCAAATAGCAAGGACTCACACATCCATCAGTAAAGATCCACCAAGTATCTGTGGAGTGCAGGCTCCGTCTGATCAGGAAGCTGGGCCTAAATAGTAACAAAAACTTAGGTGACTGGTCAAGCTGCAGGATAAGGACACTTTCAAAATAGCACTTTACATTATCTTTTGGGTTAAATTTCCTTCGTATCAAAATAATCCATGCACAGAGTTCTTATAAAAAATGAGTATACAAGGCTTATAATGAAAACAGCAGTCTCCAGCCTTCTTCCCAGCCCCAGGGCCTCTCCCAGCAGCAGCGCCTGCGATGCATGTAGCTGCTCCATCTGGCATTTACTTCCATGTGTATAAATAGCATGCTTATTGTGTTACTTTTGTGCACATGATCACTTAATTTCCAACCATAGAAGATGAGGACTCGCTTTACTTCTCTTAGACCTTCACTACATTTCCCCACCCCATCCTCCCAAGCTACCATTATTAGCATTTTTAGTTATTTACATTATCATGACTTTAAAATACTCCCTTCTGAGCACATGGTGTACAATAATTATATGTCCTTGCTTCTCTGGCTTTTGGGTCTCCCGGGAGTCAGTAATCTCATGGAGTTTTTTGGGTTTTCTGTTTGTTTTTGTTTTGATTCTAGTATGCTTAGCTCTGTCTATAACTAAGCTCCCCAAACTCTTAGCCAGGAGAGTAAATCTCTTCTCGACATAATCAACTACAAATCGTAATCTCTTGGTCTTGCTTTGTGTTGATATCCCACCTGAAGATCTCGTGATGCTTCATCTCCTCAGAGTTCCTTGCTCTCTAGAGCCTCAAGCGTTCTGGAAGTTCCTTTCTCCCTCCTTCTGGGCATTTCCTGTACCTGTTATGTGCTGGAACTGAACCCAATACCATTCTCTTTCTTGGTTTAGTCCCTCATTTTGGAGGAGCACATTCTCCTCCAGAGAGGATATGAGGGAATAAGCTGTAAAGGATCTCACATATCCCGGAATGTCTTAGTCCACCCTCACAGTTGATGGATAGTGGATTTGGGACGCAGTCTGGGTTACAAGCCATTTTCTCTCAGAATTTTGATGTTACGGTCTGCTTGTTCTAGTGTTGTTAAGCCTGGTACAAGGATGATTCCTGGTCCTTAGTTTTTTTGCTCTAGGACTTTTGGAACATTTTCCTTATTGCCAGTATTCTAAGTTTTCATTCTGGTGTGCCTTAATGTGAGTCTTTTTGTACTCATTATACGGGGGTTTTTAATCTAGAGACTCTTTTTTTAAGATTTTATTTACTTATTAGAGAGAGCAAGAAAGCACGAGCGGGGGATTTTCAAAGAGAGAAGCAGACTCCCTGCTGAGCTGGGAGACCCACATGGACTCGATCCCAGGACTCGATCCCGGCACCCTGGGATCATGACCTGAGCTGAAGGCAGACACTTAACCGACTGAGCCAACCAGGCGCCCCTAATCTAGAGACTTTTTAAATCCAGGCCTTCAATTCTGAGAATGCTCTTTTATTTATTTTTTTTTTAGGCTTCTGAGCCTATGTATGTTTATTTTTATGTTTATTTTATTTTATTTTACTGAAGTACAGTTGACATAAAATGTTATCTTAGTTTCAATTGTGCAACATATTGAAAACACAATTCTGTACATTGCTTAGTGCTTACCCCAGTGAATGTAGTCACCATCTGTCACCATACAATGTTATTATAATATTATTGATTATATTCCTCATGCTGTACTTTTCTTCTCCTCACGTATTCATTTTTTTAAGTTTTTATTTAAATTCCCGTTCGCTAACAGACAGTGTCATATTAGTTTCAGGTGTACAATATAGTGATTCAACACTTCATACATCTCCTGGTGCTTGTCACAACATGTGATCTCCTTAATCCCCATCACCTACTTCATGCATTTCCCCACCCACTGCTCTTGTATTATTTTTTATATAAGTTCCAGATGTCTGCTTCCTTATTTTCTCTTTCTTCAGAAAGAGAAAATAAATTTAGCTGTTGTAAATTCTGGACTGATTCTCCAGTTTTGTTAATCCATTCTATTCTGTTTTCCATCTCTTTTTGTTCCACTTTCTGGGAGATTTCTTCATTTTAGATACCAACTTCTTTTAAAGATTTTATTTATTTGAGAGAGAGCACAAACAGGGGGAGGGGCAGAGGGAGAGGGAGAAGCATTGCAGGGCTCGATCCCAGGACCCCAGGATCATGACCTGAGCCAAAGGCAGCCGCTGGACTGAGTGGACTGAGCCACCCAGGCGCCCCTTAAATATGAACTTTTTATTAATTTTTTTCTGCTAATGTATTTTTTATGTCTAAAAGCTCGTTCTTATCTTCTAAACGTACCTTTGTATAGACTATTGTTCTTGTTTTGTAGAGGCAATATCCTTTCCTCTACAGGGATTATTTTTAAATGTTTCTTCTGTTCCTGTATTATCTCTACTTCATCCAGGTTCCCTTTTATTGTTCATTTGTTTTGGTCTCTGCTTATCATGTTAGAAACTTTCCTACAATGTCTGAGAATCCTTGGCTGTCCATTCATATTTAAGAGTGAAATACTCAGATGGCACTGGATGCTCCGTGTGGATATCTAAAATTTGTGAAGTGACAGGTTTGACAATAGAGTTATCAACAAGGTGACCTATTTGTGCTGTTGGGGAACCTCCCAAATATTAGCTTGTGGAAGTATTTTCTTTAGGGACAGCCGAGCTCAGATTGGAATCCTTGGGTCTCCTGTTCAGGGTGGCCAACATTCTGGTAAACAAGCAGAGGAGGGAATTGCACTGTTTGATATGTAGACTTTCACCTAAGCCCTCTGTTTTCCGCACTGGTCTTCACCCCCTCTGTCGAGTGTGCCAGGGGATCCCAAGTCAAGGGTGTCTGGCTCACGCTCAGGTCTTCTGCCAGGGTGAGCCAGAGGGGGTTGCCCGGATGCACAGCATGGGCAAAGGGACCTAGAGTTCTGAGGTCTCCCCACGATGGCTTTCCGTCAGCCCTTCCTCCATCCTCATCCTCAGGGGTGCCCGGTTACCCCAATTTCTGAAACTTTCCTGGGTTCTGTGGTGAGAACCTGCTTGCTTTATGTTGTCTTCCACCTTTGAAGACTCGTTGACATTTGTCCATCTCCAACCCATCTTCCAAAATGTTGACATCCCTCCTCTGCTGTCACGTCCTCTCGCTTTTTTGCCTTGATCACTTACACCATTTTATCCCTTTGCTGTGACATTGGTGGGATTTGAGGTGGGAAAGGAGATAAGTGCATGTGTTTACTGCTTCAGATTTTACTGGAAGTCAGGACTGTATTTAATTCAGCCTATGTCTGTTGAGCACCTACCTTGAGCCCTGCTCTTCTCAGCCACGGGCAGTTTCCATCTTGGCCTGACTCTTCCCTGTCATGGAGGGAGTTCAAGCTCAGGAAGAGGATCCTTCCCTCCTGTCTGCTTCCAGAGCAAATCACACAGACACCGCAAATGCAGAACTTAAGACCCTGGAGTCTAGTTCCATTTTTACTCGTCAGTATGCTCAGCTGGCCTGTGAGCTCTTTGGTAGCAGAACTGTCTGTTCTTCATATCTGTACCCCCAGCACCTAGCACAGTGTCTCACACATAGAACATAATCAGTACCTGTTGAAGGAATGGATGGATGGATGGATGGATGGATGGATGGATGGATGGATGAAATCCAAGCTTCTGTAGAACACACAGCAGAATGAATTTGGGATGAGCGGGTGTTTAGTGTCATCCTCACCACTGTTCCACGTGTAGACTCTGGAGAACTGCCATAGGGCGTGATGTTGTCCTGGCTAGAAGAGGCCTCATGGACCATTTTATAGGAAGAAACCGAGAACGGGGGTTAAGAAACCCCCCATGTCACACAAGGAGGTGGGGCAGAGTCTGGAACTTAACATAGGTCTGAGGACTCTCAGTCGGGTGTTCATTCTACTTTGCTAGTTAGACTCCTAAGTTATTTTATTTAGCCAACAACTCATGAGGAAGGGTAAGAAGAAAACTGGAGCACTTAACAACCAAGTGTAGCAGTAAAGGACAGTTTCCTAGGGTAAAATGCTTCTTCCCCAAGAGGTAAGTCTCTTAAATAGGGACATTAAATGTGTTGATGTCCTAAGGAAGGAAAAGTATTGGGACATGCCCGAGCAAGACATTCCAGGTGACTGAATACTTTTCTTTATGCCAACTTACCCCCAGTCACTGTGATCATGGAGAGATGGGCTGAAGGGAGGCTTAAAGAAATTTGCGATTTGGGGAGAACGAGAGAACAAAGAGCTAGCAAGAACCCAGGGTATGTGGGTCAATATGAAGGTCAGAAATCAAATGAGCTGACCAGTGAGCTGTGTGCCCAGAGAAGAGATTAGGCATGAAGCATGGGCCAGGGGAACTCCTTCCAAGATGCCCTTCCTTGGGTTGGGGAACCCACATTAAAGGATTTGAGCAGAGGTGAGGCAGGCAGAAGGAACAGAAGCAGAGACAACCTGCTTCAAGAATATACTAAAGCATCAATACCCAGGGTACACGCACTGTGTACATTTTGCGTCCGTAGATTTTGCACCTTGTGGGGGGCTTCACTTACAGTTTCTGGAGTAAGAGGAGAAACATTCCAAAGGAAGGAGAACAGGAAAGGCTAGGAACCCAAGGGGCTCAGTCTTTGCAAAGAGTCTTACTGCTTCACAGATGTTGGCCACTGGAAGTTATTCGGACAAGTGGAAGGTGGTGGGGGTGGAGGAGGTGGGACGGGAAGGATGTAGGTCTGCCTATTTGTCAGTTCAAGGCTGTGGTGCCATAGATACCATTTGGAGGAGCATCAGGGAGTCAGGGTGAGCAAAACAGATGTGGTTCCTGCCTTCTTAGAATTTATGATCCAGCGGACTATTTGGAGAAACCCTGGGGTTCCTAAGGAGCTTCTTGAAAGTAGGTATCTATGGTGGGCTTTATGAGATACTCATGGTAGGCTAAAGAAATACATTAGGTATCTGGTCATGGGTAAAAGAAACCTGGGGGTCAGTAATGGGACAGGACGCTACGTGAGGAAACCTGCCCGAGGAACAGCTTCTGAGCCCCAGAGGTGTGCAGACCTTCCAGAGGATGTGACCCTGTGGTGCAGATTCACCCCACACCTGCCTGCCCACCCTCCCCTTTCAGATCACAGCCAGTGGAATGGATCCAAGTCGGTTCTGTGGGCAGCAGGGCTCCCCGCTGGGCAGCCCCCCTGATCAGAGGGAGTTTGTGTCCCCGGGGAACCGACTGCGGCTGACTTTCCGAGCCCCTGCCTCCTCTCAGGACAGGACCACTGGCCTCCACAAGGGCTTCCTGGCCCTCTACCAAGCTGTGGGTGAGTGTCCCTCCTGGGGGTGCAGCCTCTACCCGGAGCCATGGCCCCTGATCTCCCGAAAGGACAAGTGGAAGCTTGAGCGACCCCACCCCCCACCCCCCACCCCCACCCCAGCTATGCCCCTGCTGCTGAGCAGCCCAATTAAAGGGGCAGGCGTGGCTCAGCTCCAGCAGTTGTTTCCATGCAGATTTATAGGCTGAATGCTTGCAGATCATCTCCTCTTTCAAAAGAAGCCAAGAGTCCAGATTTTTAAGTGAAATTCTAGATTTTCAAATCATAACTCAGGTTTTTTTGAAAGATAATGCATGCACATGATAATTTTTTTTTAAAAAAAATAATATAATATGGTAATAGTATAAGAAGTAAGTCTTCCTCTCATATCTGGCCCTTAGTCCCTGGCTACCCTGTCCAGAAACAACCCTGTTGTCCATTTCCTGGGTATGCTTCCAAAGACGCTCTAGGTGCCATTCAAATATAATTGTTGTGCGGCGGGGTGGGGGGGGGGTGCCTAATATTCACAATGTCTTAAATCTAGCATTTTTCACTCAATAATATGTCTTTTTTTAAAGATTATTTATTTATTAATTTGAGAGAGAACGAGAGGGAGCAAGAGAGAGAGAGAGAGAGCACGAGCAGGGAGAGAGGGAGAAGCAAATTCCCCGCTGAGCAGGGAGCCCTACTCAGGGCTTGATCCCAGGACCCTGGGATGGAGTCCCACATCGGGCTCCCTGCTCGGCGGGAGGCCTGCTTCTCCCTCTCCCACTCCCCCTGCTTGTGTTCCTGCTCTCGCTGTCTCTCTCTCTGTCAAATAAATAAATAAAATCTTTAAAAAAAAAAAAGAAATAGAAATGGTAGGTGAAAAGGCATTTGCAATTTAAGTTTCAGCATTGCTGAATTTCCCTCCAAAGAGGTTTTGCTAACATGCACTGACTAGCCCTGTAGGACGATGCCTGTATCCCCTACAGCCTATTTATCACCGTTACTTTCCATTTTTTAATCATTTTTATCATGGATGATCTTATCAGTGAAAAACAGTTCAGATGTTCTAAATAAAAGACTGTGCAAGTCACACTAAATATGGCTCTGGGCCGGAATCAGTCCCAGGGCTGCCAGTTCGGGGTCCTCCTGACCACTGGTTTCCTACAGGTGTGAACCGCAGTCAGCCCGTCAGCCAGACCAGGGAAGCCTCTGAGGCCAGAACACGTGGAGACAGCCCCTCCAAGACCCAGAAGCGCTGCCAGGAGCCCTATTATCAGGCCGCGCCAGCAGGTGCGTCCCCGCCTGCTGGGGAACCAGCTCCTATTTGCCTCACTCCCAGCAAGAGGCGCTCTGGGCACCTAGCACCCCCACCTCCCAACTGTGAATCTGTTTCTCTGCCTCCCCTCATTTCACTCCCCAGGGACACTCACCTGCACACCCCAGGGCCCCTGGAAGGAGACACAAGACAGGGAGGAGCTTCCTCACTGCATCCCGGGTGAGTAGGGACCTCCCAGCGCCGACCCTGTGGCCACTTCCCTAAGAAACCTCAGCTGTATGTGTGGCCCGCGGGAGCAGGACATAAGGGGTTAAAGGAAAGCCTTAGGGTCGACAGGGAGAGATAAAGGCAGAAGGTGCAGAAGAAGAGGGGAACCAAGAAGGCCCAGAAAAGGAGAAGCAAGAATCTTGTCCCTTATTCAGGATCAAGAGATAACTGAGAAAGTAAAAGCATAAAGGAAGTTCATCAGAGGGGACAGTAAAGGCGAAGAGGGTCAGAAGAGTGGAAAGAAGAGAAACCCCTCTCTTGGGATGGTCTGCTTTAAGGATACACAGACAGGTTCTCTGTCCCCAAAACATCTCCCTACCTACATGCCACAGTGGCAGGAAGTCTGCCATGTTAATACTTTTTATTAAGATAAAATTTATGTAACATAAAATCCACCATCTTAACCATTTTAAAGTATACCATGTAGTGATTTCTAGTATATTCACAAGGTCATGCCACCATTACCACTAACTCCAGAACATTCCCATCACCCCAAAAAGAAACCCAGCACCTCAGACTCTCCCTTCCACCACCCACTGGCAACCACTAATCTACTTTCTGTCTCTATGGATTTGCCTCTTCTGACATTTTCTATAAAGGGAATCATGCAGCATGTGGCCTTTGTGTCTGGCTTCTTTCATTTAGCTTGTTTTCAAGGTTCATCCATGTTGTAGCAGGTGTTAGGATTCCATTCCTTTCCATGGATATACCACCTTTTGTTCATCCATTCATCAATTAAAGGACATTTGGGTTGTTTTCACTTTTTGCCTTTTAGGGATAAATGCTACTATGAGCATTCGTGTACGAGTTTCTGTGTGAACATATGTTTTCTATTTTTGGGGGCATATCCCTAGTAGTGGAATTGCTAGATCACATCACACCTGTAGGTGTCACTTTTTGAGGACTTGCCAGGCTGTTTTCCGCTGGGGCTGCATCCTTTTACATTCCCACCAGCAAGATATGAGGGTTCAAGTTCACTGTTTTTGAAATCCTTTTTTTTTTTTTTTTTTTTTTTTAGTCAAAGCATTGCCTTTCTAACCCAATCTGAATACATTTCTCAGATCTCGCTCCTGACCCTCAGAAAGCTCTCAGGCCAGGCTGATGCAGTGTTTGGGCAGTGGGTTGGAGGGCAGGTGATGGTGGAAGATGTCAACGATGAGGAAGGACACAGAAAACAGGCAACAGGCACTGAGGACAAACTGCTTGCTGCATGAGTTTGCTCAGGATGGCCCCACCAAGAGTCTGAAGAAGTGGCCTTAAAATGTCTGAGGGATGGGGGAAACAGGGGAAGGGGACCAAGAGCACACTTACTGTGATGAGCACCGAGTACCCTGTAGAGCTCTCGGATCACTATATTGCATACCTGAAACTCATATAACGCTGCGTGTTAATGACACTGGAATTAATTTTTTTTAAATCCTATTATTAAGGTAAAATAAGAGTGATTCTTATTTAAAAAGAAATCGTCTGAGGAGGCGCAGGAGAGAGAGCGCTTCACGGAAACAGGTCTTTAACAAATGCATCTTTTTTTAAAAAAAAGATTTATTTATTTATTTGAGAGAGCGAGAATGAGAGAGAGTACATGAGAGGGGGGAGGGTCAGAGGGAGAAGCAGACTCCCTGCCCAGCAGGGAGCCCGACGTGGGACTCGATCCCGGGACTCCAGGATCATGACCTGAGCCAAAGGCAGTTGCTTAACCAACTGAGCCACCCAGGCGCCCTAACAAATGCATCTTGATGCAGCTGCTGATGTCCCCTGTACGTCTCTCTGTCTCTCTTCTCTCCCAGTCTGTGGCCGGCCGGTCACCCCCATCGCCCAGAACCAGGAGGCCCTGGGTTCCTCCAGAGCCAAGTTGGGCAACTTCCCCTGGCAAGCTTTCACCAACATCTACGGCCGCGGGGGCGGGGCCCTGCTGGGCGACAGGTGGATCCTCACGGCCGCCCACACCATCTATCCCAAGGACGGCATCTTTCTCGGGAAGAACCGGAGCGTGGAGGTGTTCCTGGGCCACACAAGCGTGGACGAGATGTTGCGGCTGGGGAGCCACCCTGTGCGCCGCGTGGTGGTGCACCCGGCCTACCGCCAGCACGAGTCCCACAACTTCGATGGGGACATCGCGCTCCTGGAGCTGCGGCGCAGCGTGCGGCTGGGCCCCAGCCTGCTGCCCGTCTGTCTGCCCGAGCGCCAGGCCCTCTACCGCAGCGGCGTGTGGGGCTACGTCAGTGGCTTCGGCGTGGACGGGGGCTGGTTAACCACCCAGCTGAAATACTCCGGGCTGCCCGTGGCCCCGCGCGCGGCCTGCCAGGCCTGGCTCCAAGAGAAGCAGAGGTCTGAGGTGTTTTCTGCCAACATGTTCTGTGCTGGGGATAAGATGAGGCAGCAGAATGTCTGCCAGGGGGACAGCGGGGGCGTCTATGCGGTATGGGATGAGCGCGCCCATCACTGGGTGGCCACGGGCATAGTCTCCTGGGGCGTGGGCTGTGGCAAGGGCTATGGCTTCTACACCAAAGTGCTCAACTACCTGGACTGGATCAAGGGAGTGATGGAGGGGAAGGACTGACCCTGGGGGCGCTTGAACAGTGACACCCAGCTGTGGAGCGTCCCCCCATCCGGGAGAGGGTTAGGAGGAGGACTGGGCTCAGGGATGGCGCTGGGGGCAGGGAACCCCTATTCCTGTCCTGTCCCTTGTGCGAGAGAGCTCCTCCTCCTTCCCAGTGCCCCCCACCCCCTTTCTCCACCTTCTTGCCCGAGTTTGCGCTCCACCCAGGAAAGCCCTGGACATCTCAGCCAGTTTCCCTTTAAACTTCATCTCCTGCTGACACGGCTTCTTCTGTACTCTCCTGGGAGACGGTCACCTTCTCATCCCCCAGTTCAAGTGGGGTCTGGGGGATGTGGTCTTAACTCTTTTCATTTCTGAAACATTCCAAAGCCCCTCTAGTTGGCCTTCACGCATTCAAACTACTGGCTTCACCCCCCTTCCCCTGCCAACGGTATCTCCTAGCTGCAATTCTAGTAAACAGCCCATGTTCTGCATACCAGGAGATTCACGGGTTATTTCATTGACTCCTCACAGCAAGTTTGCAACTGAGCTGTTATTACCCACATTTCACAAATGAGGAAACTGAAGCCCAGGGAGATAAAGTGGCTTGCCCAAAACCCACAGCTGGGACGGGACTGCCAAGGCAACGGGCTTCCCAGGACACCATGATACCTCCCGATTGTCCTCCAGACCTACTCTGCTTCCCCTTCCCAATCCCCACATCCATACAGGTCCTCCCTGGGAATTCCTGCTTCATTGAAGATGACAACACCTGGTTCACACTTCCCTGCTAGCCCCGTCTCCCGCAGACCCCAAGCTGAGCCCAGCACCGGGCTGGATGTTGGGGCCGACACCCCCCAGTGCTGCTGGACACCTGGGTCTGGGCTCCACCTGAGAAGACCAGCTCTTTAACTTTTAATAAGGTCTTGAGGTGATTTACAGTGAAAGACACGAGTAAAATACGATGGTTCAAATGGAAATAGATAATTAATACCATAAAACAGAAGAGAGCAAATCTGCTAGCACTGAAGGTCAAGTTAGCTTACCTGGTTAAAGGTTAAATTGATCTTTGAGGGCGCCTGGGTGGCTCAGTCGTTAAGCGTCTGCCTTCGGCTCAGGTCATGATCCCAGGGTCATGGGATCAAGTCCCACATTGGGCTCCCTGCTCGGCAGGAAGCCTGCTTCTCCCTCTCCCACTCCCCCTGCTTGTGTTCCTGCTCTCGCTATCTCTCTCTGTCAAATAAATAAATAAAATCTTTTAAAAAAAATTGATCTTTGAAAAACAGCAGGATTCAAAGTTGTACATACATGTGGTTACTTCAATTTTTTTAAACCATTTTTAAACCTAAGTATAAAAGACTATTAAAAACACCCTAAGGGGTGCCTGGGCGGCTCAGTCAGTTAAGTGTCTGACTTTTGGTTTTGGCTCAGGTCGTGATCTCAGGAACGTGGGATTGAGCCGCACGTAGGGCTTTGCAATCAGTGCGGAGTCTGCCTGGGATTCTCTCTCCCTTTGCTCCTCCCACTTGTGTTTGCTCTCTCTTTCTCTCTCTCTCTAAAATAAAATAAATAAATCTTGGGGCACCTGAATAGGTTAAGCATCTGCCTTTGGCTGTGGTCATGATCCCAGGGTCCTGGGATCAAACCCTGAGTTGGGCTCCCTACCCAGAGGAGAGCCTACTTCTCCTTCTCCCTCTGTCTGCCACTCCCCCTGCTTGTACTCTCTCTCTCTCTCTCTGTTAAATAAATAAATAAATAAATAAATAAATAAATAAATAAATAAATAAAATCTTTAAAACCAATCAATCAATCCTTTTTAAAACACCCTAAAATACTAATCAGAAGTTGTGTTAGGTGGTATAATTTTGGCTGTTTTGTTTTCCCCTATTCCTCCGTAATTGCTAAACTTTGCTAAATTTTATTTAATGAGCATGTATTTGTTTTATTTTGTTTTTATTATTGAAAAATGATGTTTCTCCCTGCCAAGGCAAAAAATATATATCTATAGCTATAGATCTATATAGATCTAGATGTCTAGATATATCCACATAAGGTAACCTACCATTACTTTAAGAGAGAAACTTTTTTTCTCCAGAACCAAAACCTAAGAAGAATAAACAATAAAATAGACAATGTCTTCGATACTGGTCTTTATTTTTTTTTTAAGATTTTATTTATTTATTTGACAGAGAGAGAGAGACAGGGAGAGAGGGAACACAAGCAGGGGGAGTGGGAGAGGGAGAAGCAGGCTTCCCGTGGAGCAGGGAGCCCGATGTGGGGCTCGATCCCAGGACCCTGGGATCATGACCTGAGCCGAAGGCAGACGCTTAACGGCTGAGCCACCCAGGCGCCCCTGATACTGATCTTTATTTTTTATATATAGATATATTTTTTAAAGATTTTATTTTATTTATTTGACAGAGAGAAGCACAGCAAGAGAGGGAACACAAGCAGGGGGAGTGGGAGAGGGAGAAGCAGGCCTCCCGCGGAGCAGGGAGCCCGATGCGGGGCTCAATCCCAGGACCCTGAGATCATGACCTGAGCCGAAGGCAGACGCTTAACGGCTGAGCGACCCAGGCGCCCCTGAAACTGATCTTTAAACCAGTGCAGGAGTAATCTTCATATGGCTGTTTCTTCTTTCTGTCCTTGGTGTAAGTCAACGGTATACAACAAATGTGCAAGTAAAGGTTCATTTGAGTGGCCCGGCAGAGAGGAGGCCGGCCTGGGACTGAGGTGATGAAGCCCAGGTTTGTCACTTTGCAGCCATGTTGTATGATACTCAGAATCCCTGGGATGAATAGGAGAACTTCAGCTAAGAATTACCTTCCTGGACCACCTGCTCCTTACCTGTGATCTCCTCCATATTGCCTCCACTATGAACACGACACACACACGCACACACAGTGTTGTCAAAATGTTAATGTGCAATTTGTGAGACAAGATTCCCCTTCTTGGGGCGCCTCCACAGCGAACAAACTTTCCAATTAGGAGACTGTGGCCTGGAACACAGGAGAGACAAAACCTCCCTCCCTCCCAGGGGCCTACTTTCTTTCAGAAAAGCCCAAGTCACTGTTGGTGTGCAGACATAATGTCTGCCTGGTCCTAGGCAACCGTGACTCTCAGGGGTTCAAACACTTGACCAGATGCCGAGAAGAAGAGGATGTTTCTACCCTCGCTCAGCTTCCCTTGCCTCTCTAAGAACCAAGTTCACGGGCAGGTCTGAGTTCACTGAAGTGAGGAGGAAGGGTCTTAAGACAGACCCTAGTGCTGCTGTAGGGTCACCCTGACATAAGCACTCTGTGTCCCATGTTTAAGTGTCATTCATGGGAAAGGAGGCTGGGGCCCCAGTGCAACCAAACTCCGTTCTCTTCTGTCCGCTCCTGCCATGCCCTCTCTGCCTCATGGTTCCTGTCACACCAACCTGGACATTAAAACCCTGGCCACTCCCGGGTAAGTAAGGGCAGGAAGAACCGGATTAATGGAACAGGGCACTGCAGAAAAGAGAGTACCCCCTCAACTGCGATTTCCGTTCCCTTTGGCATCGGGACCTTGTAAACACAGCAGCAGTCCCTGAAGAAAGGGAGAATTCAGATCAGATATAGAAACCGAGAAGTCTGGGCTTCCAACCAAAGGCTTTCTCCATTCTGAAAAACTCGGGCCCATCTCTTTAGCCCTTCCCCAGGCCGCCAGCAGGTGGCACCACCATCAGGGATTTCAAAACCAAAACTACATTAAACTGGAAAGATTTTTTTTTCCGTTTTGTTTATGCAAATAGTTCCTTCCCTACAACATTCCTCCGGGAATGGTCCCCTCCTTCCCCTCCACAGTCATTCCCTCCCCCTTGCCTCCCCTGCATGACCGCTCTCTCCCTCAACACAGAGTGGATGAAGACACTGTCAGGAGAGTCCAGGATCCAAAAACAAACCTTGAGAAATGTGAGTAAGGCTGATGGGGCCCTGGGAGGGTGGGAGAAGCCAGAGGAGAGAATCCTGGGCATGGGAGGCAACCCTGCTCCCAAATTCATTCAGGGGGACGGGAACACCCCTCCCTCCCCATATACCTTACCTATTCCCGTAGGCACACACGTGCTTATGCAAACACATACCCCACCATCCCTCCTCCTGAGGAGGAGACCTTAGACCCATGAGGCCATGGCCATGTTCCCTTCTTCCTCCTAACTCATGGCAGGGGAGCAGCAAAATGAAGGGACCCACTGTGCCCAGGAGGGGTGTGCTCTGTGCATGACTCCATATTCCATAGGTTGTTTCTCCCAGAGGTCTTTGCTGAGCCTTTGGGAGCCCCATCAGAGAGCCATGACTGGAAACCCTCACCCTCCATTAACTGGTCCCAAGCCAGCCCCATTCCGGGAAGGGGAGGGGAGTGGTGGGAGAGGGCAGGGGAGGATGATGGGGAGGGAGGTGCAGGGAGTACGATGACCTCTAGACTGGACATTACCCAGGGGGAGGAACACCCAATGCAGCGGCTGCAGAGGCCAGGCTCTCCACTTCACCACCCCCACTTAGAAAATCTCTACAAGGCCTAGAATGGCCAGAAAGGAAAATGCCAAGCGGTAGGACCATCCCAACCCCCACCCCAGTCACTGCCCAAACGGCAGGGGTGCCGCAGCCCTCCAGCACTAGACACCCACTTTCTTGTCGGCAGGTGCCTCTTATACCTCCTGGTGCCCATCCTGTTCTGCCGCGTGGGAGGCTCCATCCCCGTTTCGCAGAAGCTCTTTGGGGAGGTGACATCTCCTCTGTACCCCAAGCCTTACCCCAGCAACTTTGAGAAAACCACCGTGATCACAGTGCCCACAGGATTCAGAGTGAAGCTCATCTTCTGGCAGTTTGACCTGGAGCCTTCTGAAGGCTGTTTGTATGACTATGTCAAGGTAGGGAATCAGGTTGGGAGGGCAGAGGGAGAGCTGGGTGTCTCTGGAAACTGAGGACTTGTGCTCTAATCACCCTGGATAGCATTCCCCACCCATGGACACAGCCCCAGCCCTGCAAGAGCTAATGGCCAAGTGAAGTTCGGAGAGTCTGGTGACACCATGGATGGGGTGTCCACTGGATTTAGAGGCCCTCAGTGAGCACTGAAGGGAAAAACACAGAGGAGGGAATGTGCAGGCCCCACTTCCAGGAAATTTACTGTCTATAGGAGTCAGAAAAACCTTCTCCATCGGCTAACTTGCTGGGAGTCTTTGGAAAACTGCTGTGCCTGTTTCCCTCTTTCCGTGTAGAATATCACCATGGCTGCCTGCCTAAACAGGAATATGGGGAAGAGAAACGTGTGTGGTGGTAGCTCAAGCATAAGCTTCAGCAAGGTCAATGGGCTCAGTCTCCTCACCTCTGTGACAGCCAAGTGTGCCTTCCCAGTCTCAACTTTCTATATCAATAAAAATGAGATTCTAGATTCAGGATTCAAGTAGAGTCTACACACATGCAGTAAATGCCATTCCCAGGAGACCCTCTGGAGGTTATGAGAGAATAACATGAAAATGATACATCTTCTAGCCCAGAGGACGGGAGAAGTTTGCAGGGTTGGGGGGAGGGGTCTTGGTGGCAGGGATGGTGAGGGATGGGGTGGGGGCAGGATGTCTTCCACTTCTGAGGAGTTAAAGAACCTGTGAGCAAAGAGATAAGGGAAGTCCGGTGATGCTAGTCCGTGCGGAGGCTGGAGAGGCTCCCACTCAGCTGAGTATACCAGGAGGCATGTGGCTGGGCGTGAAAGGTTTGCATAAGGTGAGGTGGGATAACTGGACAGAAAATAAAGCAGACCACTCCAGGTTCCAGGAATGAAGGGATGCTAAAGGCTGTGTGGAGAAAACCAGGATTCCAGTGGAAGATGAGCATGGGAGGTGGTGGAGACAAAGGAAGGTCTGAAACATGCCAGGGGACAGAGAACAGGGAAGGGGCGATGTACCAGGCACAGGATAACATGCCAGGAGTTAGCCACCAAAGACTCAACAGATGGAAGTCACCGGGGAAACAAAAAGAAAGCAAGTCATGGAGAGACAGTTTACAACAGCCAGAGCCCCGCAGGTAGAGACCAGATGGAAGCTGGTCCAGCAGGGGGGCACGACTCACTCTTTGGGACAAGAGGAAGACTTCTGCTGACCTTCCACCCAGGACATGTCTCCTCAACTGCTCTTCTTCCTACCCTTTGTCCTTTCTCCACAGATCTCTGCTGACAAAAAAACTCTGGGGAGGTTCTGTGGGCAAGTGGGTTCTCCACTGGGCAACCCCCCAGAAGCAAAGGAATTTATGTCTCAAGGGAACAAGATGCAGCTGACCTTCCACACGGACTTCTCCAATGAGGAGAATGGCACCATTATGTTCTATAAGGGCTTCCTGGCCTATTACCAAGCTGTGGGTGAGTGGCCCGGGTGCCTTTTTTCCTGGCCTTAGGCATGTTGTATGGGGACCAGAAAAGGGGAATCTTGAATCCATTGAAGCAAGAAGCCTGTCCTTCCTTATTTTTTCTCCTCAAAAGAGCTTTTTCCAGGAGAGGACTGCCAACCTAGATTCTGTCACGGTGGGGTAGTTCCCAGAAAGCATTAGAGAGGCCTGAAATTGGGGCGCCTGCATGTCTCAGTCAGTTAAGTGTCTGATTCTTGGTTTTGGCTCAGGTCATGATCTCAGGTCATGAGATTGACCCCCATGTCCGGCTCTGCACTGCGTATGGAGCCTGCTTAAGATTTCCTCTCTCCCTCTGTCCCTTCTCACACCACCCCCCCCCCAAAAAAAAAGAGAGAGAGAGAGGCCTGGAGATGATTTTGTCTTTAGGCCTCTGGTGACTGACCTCTCTGAGAGCAGAGCCATGACAGAAGTCCCCGGCAGGAATTTAACCCTTCCTTCTGGACTGTCTTCCAGACCTCGATGAATGTGCTTCCCAGCGAAACTCAGTTGAGGAGAATCTCCAGCCCCAGTGCCAGCACCTATGTCACAACTCTGTTGGTGGCTACTTCTGTTCCTGCCGTCCAGGCTATGAGCTTCAGAAGGACAGGCATTCCTGCCAGGGTAAGGTCGGGGCACTGTGGGAGGGAGGCAGGGGCCGAGCAAGGGCGTGCGGGGCCAGCCAGAGAGCGCCCAGTGACCCCCGTCCGG